GTCCCCATGAGGCGGGCAGGGAGCCGGGAGAGGGGCATGGTCAGGCGAGCAGGGAGCCGGGAGAGGGGTCCCATCAGGAGAGGTGGGAGCCGGGAGAGGGAAGCAGGAAGATCTGAAACAGGCAATATAGGTAAACCCATTCACCTAGGAGATGACCCTGACAAGTTGCCTCCATACCATCGAGATGAAGCATTCAGAGGTTCTTGGGGTCATGAAGATGATACAATGCAGGAGGAATTTCCTTTAGATAGTCAAGATGATCCTTCTTTGGAGCATGAGCAATTGGATGATTGGGAAAGAGAACAATACTGGAGAGATCACAACTCTGATTATCAGGATGATTCTGTAGATGCATATGACAGAGATGACAGGTTGCAATCCCACCATTCACTGCCTCCATTATCTCCCCTACCACCACTACCTCCTTTATCATCTGATCATGACAGACGAGATTCATGGTGGGATGACTGGAAAAGGCCAAGAGAGAGGGAAATGGACAGAGATCTAGATAGAACTGGAAGATCCTCAGATATTTATAATCAAGATTTAGACAGAGAATGGGACAGAGACTGGGACATGAGACCTATGGATGACAGAGAAATGGGGAATCGTGACCTGGATATCCCCCCTCTACCACCATTACCACCTCTTCCACCTCTGGACCGATACCGTGAAGATAGGTGGAGGGAGGATAGGAACAGAGATCATTATGACAGAGATCTCCGAGACAGGGGGGAGCTTAGGATCCGAGAGTATCCAGAGAGATATGACACATGGCGGGACAAGCAAGACTATCTTCCTGAAAGGACTGACTGGGAGAGGGAACGGTTGTCAGATAGGTGGTATCCAGATGATGGAGAGAGACTGCGGTCTTTGGATGACCACTCAGATTCATCCCTTCCTCCACCTTCACACTCCTCTGATATGCTGGGAGCAGATTCAAACCTGGACTCTGACCAGTCCCTGGGAGGAGTGATGGTCCTTAGCCAAAGACAGCATGAGATAATTCTGAAGGCTGCCCAGGAGCTCAAAATGCTTCGGTGAGTTGCCTGGTTCTATGATTTTGAATGGGAATCCATTCTGTGGGATTCATTCGAATCGACATACTAATGGCTTCACTTCTTTCACCCACAGCATGATAGTAGGAGCTCACGTGGAACACGTTGTTTGGAGTACCTTCATCACAGCTTTTGCAAATGGATTTTTTTCTTAAATAGGTGATTGTTCCTTTCCCCATGAATACAGCATTCCCTGTTCGTTACTTTCCAGGAAGAGATCTGTCCCATCGCCTGACGAATCCTTTTGTTATCCTCAAATTAGCTTGTTGATAATTGCATTTCAGCCTTTTTATTAGTATCAGATGAGCTTGATGATAATTGCTTTTTAATACTGAACTGTCAAGGCCTACATTAATGTGGTTCTTAAGACCTGTTTACTTTTTTGGATACTGCTTGCTTTTTAATCAAAGCATATGTGTGGTAGGTTTTTCTTTTACAGTGCTCCCTAACTTGAAATCCGGTATTGTCGGTGAATAACTTTGTCAAGTTTGGTTGATCTTAGTTCTGGGAATCGGCATAAAGGTAGTGATAACAGTTAGGACGATGTGAATGCAAGAGTTCATCAAGACCACGTTTTTAGAAAGCAGTGACTAGACTCCCTAAGGCTTTAATAGATGTTTATTACGGAATAGGTAATAGAAGAGACAAGGTTGGTTAGGGCTTTGAGCAGCCTGGTGTAGTGGAAGGTGTCCCATGGCAGAGGGGATTGGAATCAGATGATCTTTAAGGGCCCTTCCAAACCAAACCATTTCATGATTCTATGAATATCCTCTTAAACATCAGGATCATGCTGGGGCTCAGTAAGTTTAGTAATATTAGATTGAGTGGAGCACATATCATCTATCCAAATGCTATCTTTGTGATTTGATGCGTGGCTTTAGGTGCATTAAATGTTTTTTTTACAAAGGAAAGATGAGTTTCTTTGGCTGCTTTCAGTGAATGAGATCTTTCAGCAGAGATTGTAGAGAAAAGAGGAAGCTTCTTAGGGACAGAGGTTCGTGTGATTCATGCGATTAATGAGTTACTGAGAGATAGCTAAGGATTGGTGCCTAGTAAAGAGAGGTTTAATTTCATAAACAAGATGTACTAAAATAATGAGCAATTAAAATGAATGTTAAGTTCTCATTATTTCATTTACATTAAACCATGTTGGAGATAAAGACCTTTTGCGCTTTTCTTGAAGCTGTTTTGTTTTCAGATGCGTATGATTGCTAAGCATCTGTCCCATATGGAAGGCCTTATTTGCATGCCAAAGTGCAAGAAAAATAACACTAAAACGGAGAATTTTCATTCTGAATAATTTAATCGTTCACTGCAATTAGATTAGTTCAATGGGTGTTAGTAACTGGAAATCTGTGAAATCTGTGTTGTAAAGCAATATTTGCTATTTGTTGGAAGCAGCAGATTATTTTTGGCTTCCTGGCTTTCCCATTGCCTTAGTTGCCAGGCATATGTTTTGCTGTTTAATGTGACTAGCTGCAATCCAGTGGACTTAAGCTAAGGACTGTAGTTTGTGAATCACTACCAGAGTGGATAATTTATTAAGGCTGAAATATTTTAAACTTAGGAACTAAAGTGTTTTAGCTAAGATAGTCATTACATACACATCTTTCTAAGCCAGTAAAAGCGGGAAATACAAACATGATACTGCTGATACTGATTTTTAATTGAATGTGAGGATAATCTTAAAATTAGTTATGTTGGCACTTCTCATTAGGTCTTACAACCAGATGACCCCAGCTGGAATATTAGGAACAGCTTAAAGGAAACTGCTTATTAATTTTTTTCTAAAGGTTTCTAAGAGTTACACTAATAGTGTGGTGCATAACTGCTTTCATCTCCAAAAGTAAAGCTTTCATCTGGCTTTGCTTTTATTGTGTATAAAACAGCACACTCTCAGCTGCATGATATTCTGCATTTGTGGTCTGGTTTAGTGCTCGGTTTGCTCTTTGTACTAACACAGCCCTGGGGATCCTTTTCTGTGAGCCACATTCCCCTTCTGCCGGACACTGAACAGATCCATTACTAGTCAGGGTGGCTCCTGTTGTGCCTCGTCCAGAGGGATTCCATTCTTACCCATTCCTTAGGAACTACTTCAATATGCACAATTAATATGAACAAAGAGTTATTAGCAATTTAAAAACCTAGGTTAAAAAATGCTAACAAAAGCTGCAAGGAAAGGAAATTATATTCAGTAGAACTTTGTGATCCAGTGATTGTAGGTATTCATGGCCAGACCTGGTCTCTGCTCCATAGACTATGTAAGGATTGTATATTAAATAGCATTCTGATTTATAAACAAAGGAAACAAAAGTTAGAATCATTTTGTTTTTAAATATTGGAATCTCTTATGCTTTGCTGCTCTCAATTCTGTTAGCATGTGCACCAGAGCAAGCAACTGAGAGCACTTATGTGTGCATTTCCAAGGGGTTTCTTGTTTGCAGGTGTTGGGAGAAGCTAAAAATCCAGCTTTGCTCTTTGCTGTCCAAGTGGAGTGGTTCTGGCCAAGCACCAAAGCATAACTGCATGTCTCAGGGGAAACTTGTAATCAAAAGAGCATGCAGCTAATACACTAAATACCTTCATGGTTAGGTGGACATGAAACAGGGATTTCTGAATCACAGCATTGCCCATGTAAAGGCTATTGTGTCTTTTCTTCTTTGGACTTGGCCCTGGATGCTTGTGTAATATGTGGTTGTCATGAGCATGTCATGACCATGAGCACTGATTTCTTTAAGTCTTTGTTTAAGCTATAGACTCATAACACTTTCTTGTGATGCATGTGCAGAGAACAAAAAGAACAGCTGCAGAAGTTGAAGGAGTTTAAACCTGACATTTCCACACAGGACTCTCCAAGATCACAGAACACAAGCACAAGGCCGGGTGCCTTTCAGGTAAATTCGTCTTATGTTAATAACATGTTGGTAGTAATTACTTTTAGTGTGTAAGTCCAACCAGTTCTACACACTGATGGTCTGACTTCTCTGTGGAATGCCTCCATGGGCAGCCTTTACAACCTCCTCAATCTCCTATTGAGGCAAAGCAACTTCTTACTTTCTGAAAATTTTCCAAAGTCTTTTCTACTCAGTCAATTCACCATGTCTTTTGAGCATGACCCATCAGGGCTGGTAGCACATGAGGTTCAACAGTCTAGACTGCTGGGGGATGATGTGCAAAAAGAGGTGAACTCTTCCAAAACAGAGGCGTAATACTCACAAGAAGACCTTGCTATTCCTTGCCTAAGTTCTGGCAATTTCGCTGCTTTTCCTGCTTCAAGAGCTATCTCTTTGAAGTTAGAGAAATTTGAGGGTAGGTCAGTCAGAAACTGAGGTATTTCAATGTAGCATAGGCATTAGCTTTGTGTTTGCTGTCTTTATTGGGAACTCACATTACCTTTTGGGATATCATTAAGTGCATGGAAGCTCGTGTTTGTGTACCTCCATGAATTCATCTCCTGTTGTGCTGCAACTTAGTCCTCTGCTGCTTAATTGCCTGTTTAGTGCTGGAAACTCTTCTCAGCTGCTTATATCTCTTTTTTTCATAATTCATATCCAAACAGAAATCAACTGAACTGCAGTCATGTTCACTCAGATGTATAAATCCTTCCTAGAGCCAGTAAACAGTTTTGTTAAATGTATATCGGAGGAGATACCTGAGTTGATGCAGTCTTTATTCTTCATCATATCTTAGCCCCGAAGTTACTGGTACCAATAAATTTAGGTATAATGTCCTCTGGGTCTGATATTTAGCCAGACCAAACTTTATTTGTCACTCACTCCAGAGAAATGTTATGCAGTGAATGAGGCACTGCAAGTTTTCTTTTTGCCTAGGTGACCTCTTCCTTGTTTACAGTGTCTATAAAGTAAAATAATGGAACTGATTTGCTACCAAGAACTGCAGGTATGTTGATGCCTTTAGGAAGTTACTTCACTCAATTTTGATAGTTTGTATCTCAGACTACTTCACTCCTCTGCCTAGAGGTTTTCAAACAACTCTTGTCTTTTCTGGAATTCCTGCCTTCAGATATTTTTGCTGTGACTTTGAGCTCTTTATTACAGTTCAGCTTTTTGTCTTGTGCTGGTTTGAAAAGCAAACCAGTGAGAGATTCTGAGTCAGAAGTACAATTTAATATGAACAACACAACAAAACAACACAAATGCAACAGTAAAAAAAACCCAAAACCTGACAGAGTCAGAAAGTAACGTGACAGAGTTAGAAAGTAACCTGACACGCTGTCAGTCAGGGTGTAGTAGTAGTCCGATTAACTGGTGGCTGCAGTCCTCCTGGAGTGATGGGTTTGTTGGAGCAGTGGTCCCACAGATCCGGTTCTCTCCTGAAGGTCCAGCAGCAGCTCTTGTCCTCTGGGAATCCAGCAGGCAAAGGGCTCCCTGTGCTGGTCCAAACCCCTGCTTATATCCCTGAGAGCATGTTTGGCTCCCCACTCCTGGGGTGAGTCACCTCACCATGGGACAAGGCAATAAAGGATCACTGGGAGGATGTGTCATGCATGGGTCCCTGACAGCCAGTAAATCAGAGACAGCCCCCTGAGGGAGCCATCATGATTGCCCTGAGGGAGGGACAAGGTGATAACGATCACTGCCCCACCTGCTTTAACACATTGTGGAGATGATAATAGAATACATACCATGGATACCCCCCACACTGCAACCCAGGACAGTCTACAATCATTCTGCAGGTTTTTTTGCATGTTGCTGATGCATCTGCCATGATGCTGAAAAGACTCGTGACACATGGGATGTTTGGCTCATGAAGGGTTTATTTTGGTTTGGTTTGGTTTTCCACTGGGCAAGGCCTTCCATTTTCTGATGTTGATCTGATGTTGATTTCATTAAGGCTTTTCTAGGTATTTCTGCTCTCTGTGAGTTTTTCCAGTGACGTCCACAAAGAAACTGGCCTTATCAATCCTTTTGCATCACACCAAGCTGCCCTACTTTCAGATTTTTTTCAGCGTCCTCACAAACAACAGGAATCTTTGCAGACAGCAGGAGCCTTTGGGAATAAAACAGTAGACACTTTTGCACTGAGATAGGCCTACTGGAGCTTAAATTGGTAAGGCTATTTTGAAGAAGAAACTAAATAGTATTTAAGCCTTCACAGAGTGAACAAACTCCAAATTAATTCAGGCCACCAGTTTTTGAAAATAGTCCTCCTACCTGTAGCACCTTGATGGAGGTACTGTAAAATGCATATGATTTGATTACTGATTGCCATTTCACTTAGTGACTTAGAGAGGATGAGGGAAGGTTAGTTTACAGATCTACATTAAAAGTGCTTTCTGCATCTAGGTCTCTTCTCAGCTCTCTTCAGAGGCACCAGTAGAAGCCCAAGCTATTAAACCTTCTCCTGCTGTTATTATAAAGCCTCCCGTGTTGTTCAGACAGCCCACCCCTGTGACAAGACCAAGTGCCCCACTGACAAGGCCTACTACACCTATGACAAGGCCACATGCTCCAGTTTCTACTCCAACTACAGCCCCAAGTCATGGTCAGTCTTTAAAACCATCACCTTCTACTGTGGAACAGGAACGCTGGGATGAGGATTCTTTCCACGGACTGTGGGACACAAATGAGGATAAAGGTGCAAATATGGAGTACGAGTTGTGTAAACAGGAGTCAATGATGCCTCCACCTGTCTCCTCGCCTGTGAAAGTACCTGCCGTCCACACCTCTGTTCCGTCAGCTGTACCAGTGTCCCTTTCTCCAGTTATTCCACCAGTTTCTAAAGCACCTGTCATTCAGCAAACTGTGGATTATGGCCATGGGCGAGGTGGGTATTACAGTGTATTTGATCTGTAACAAAAAGCTAATTGACTAACTTCTGTCTGAAGGAATGTGCCATGAGAAGTACGTGCATACATTGCCATGTAATGCCAAGCAGTGCAGTTTTATGGAGTCTGTAACCTCCAGCCCTGAGTTTGTTTTCCTCAATGCTCATATAAAGAGCTATTTCATGTGAACTGAGTGGAGTACAGGCATGCCTGCTTCTAAGAAACACCAACTGGTGTGATCGCATCAAGGGTTATATTTAGGTTGATATTGATACTTTCCCTTAATCCCTTTGCAGGTGAGTATGGAAATAACTGTGCTAGAAAGTACTTTGAATGGTTAAAGTTCTTAGGTATGACTTAGTAACTTGTAGCAGAATGTGACTGGTGTTTGCATTATTTATATACTGCTAAATGGGTGTGAGGTTCCCTCTAGACAGAGAGTGAGACAAAATCTAGTTCTGAAGGGCAAGTGCCATAAACAGGTATTTAAGGCATACAGTGAGGGGCTCTGGTTTTTAGTATTGAGCTTATTAAAGCTAGAATTCAGTGCTAGTTTTTAAATAGAATTAATCTCCCTCTAAGTTTTTAACAGGATTGAAGTCATGTCATAAAGAAGTTCTTAAATTGTGCGTTGTCATTTAAAGAGTGCTTTTTCTCTCTCTAAGGTGCCATGAGTTGAATCCATATCTATTCTATTAAATAGATGTTTTGCTAAAAGCTGTTAGAAAAATTGTCACTGTTGTGAGACCTTCAGTTGATATTCCTGACATTACAGTACTTCTATGAGTTATTGAAACTTTCTGAGATTTTTCATGTTTATTATTTTCTGACACTGCGTGCTACCTGAACTCAGCTGAAAATGCAGAAGTCCCACTCTTAAGATGAAGTGGTATGCATACACACAAACACAAACCCACTTCAGTCTTTCAGAACCATGGTGTTGATTATGTATGTATAGCTCTGTTGGCATTATCCATTAAATTAAATTTTGGGAAGTTATTCCAGTCACTCTTAATGCCATTGACTGATTGCTTTTCATGACAGGAAAGGAGATGGAAGAGGGGTGTTTTAAGACCTTAATTATTTTTTGATTACTTTAAACCAGATATAACCACCAGTAAAGTGGAACAGATTCCATATGGGGAGAGGGTAACCCTTCGTCCAGAACCTCTACCGGAGAGGCAAGCATTTCAAAAAGGTAGGGAGTGCTTGGCTAGCTCTCAGTTAGTTAGCTCTTAAGAAAAGTTGTAAGGCACTAAAAGTATATTTTAAACCAAGTAACACTTGTTTAAGCTAGAAACACTTTGTTTTCTTCAGAAGCCCATAAGAGTAATAGTTTATATTGTCAAGAGGAGTAACGCAGCCAGTAACCTAGCCACTTTTAAAATTCAGTTTTGTAGCTTTACACAGGATTGCATGGTATGGTTGTCTGTTACAGTTTGGAAAACAGTGTCTGGTTAAGTCCATCCTAGCCCTCCTATCATGTGTTTCTGTATACTTTTCTTGCACTTGTTGCTTTTTTTTCAAAAATAGTAGTTTGGATTTCCATGGGTTTCTCCCTTCAGAGCATCCAGGTCGCTACAACAGAGAAAGAGATCGTGAGCCTTATTTTGAGCGTCAAGGTAATTCCAATACAGATCATCGGGATTTCAAGAGAGAGCGGGAATTGCACAGGGACCGTGGTCCTGTGGACTATGAACGAGAGAGATTTGAAAAGGAGCGGCACCCCCGAGATGACAGGTGTGTGATTTCGAAACACTGCTGAAATCAATACAATTGAGGCTGTGTTGTGTGTCAGGCTGTCCATTTTGCCTGAGAAATACATCCTCATTTAGCTCGGGAATCTGTAGCGGAAATTCTAGAAATACACAAAACCCTCTCTTGGCAGGGTTCTTCCCACTGCACCCTCAAGGGCTCAGTCTTACCGTGACAAGAAAGACCATCCCTCCTCCCGGCGGGGTGGCTTTGAACGACCTCCGTACGAACGAAAGACAGATCGTCCAGCTTATGATCATGGGCCTTCCATGTTTGGAGGTACAGTTTTTCAATCTTGAAGCCATGCTAGAATATTATGAAAAATATGTACTTGCAGAGGTGAAGATGAATTGATTTGCAATGTTTATTTGTTCAGAATATGTAACTTAGAAAAATTTATGTTGGTGGTGTCATTTACTTTTGTTTCTTGGTGGTGATGAGATCAGTTATATACTCTGCTGAAAACTGTCTTTGATTGTAGTAGGTTCAAGATTAAAAATTTGAATTATTTTGAGGACGTATCTGTGAATGTAAAATAATGAAGGTCTGTTTAAATCAGCTCAGCTGGGTATGAACATCTTAATTTTTTTATTTTACTGAACTAAGAAAATTCTTCTGTCCAAACACTGGAATTTGAAGGTGATCGTAGAAATTACCCCGAGGAAAGGATTCCCATTTCTGCTCCAACAATGCCCCGTCAGCCACCACCTGCTCCACGAGTGGAAAGGAAGCCAGAATCTAAAAATGTAGATGATATTTTGAAGCCACCAGGACGGGATAGCAGGCCAGAGAGGGTGAGTATGCATTCTGAAAGCTCACGACCAAGTTTGTTAAAATAGGCAGTGAGGTGTGGTACTGGCTTTGCTTGATGATATGCAAAAGCCTGAGCCCACAGCACTTAATTCTGTAGAAGAATGTTGCAAAAGAGATTCTGTTAAATGTAATACAGTATCTTACCTTACCTAATCTTTGTTTCAGATTGTGATCATAATGAGAGGGTTGCCTGGCAGTGGAAAGACACATGTAGCAAAACTCATCAGGGTATGTGTAAACAGTGGCTCACTGTGTAGTGCTGATTGTCTTTTATGTGTGCTTCCTCTGCTGTTTTCTTCAGGTCTGTTGTTAATGCATGTTCCATGTCTTCATGTGGCATGTGAATCCCCTCCACTATTAGCCAGCAGGAGGGATACTGCTCTCTTCTTGTTTTGAATATAGACCAGGGAACTGTTGGCCCAAAGTGTTTTGAAGATCCTGTGTAGCAGAGTGGAGTTTTTACAGCAAAAGTATGTTTTCCTTTTACTTTCTTCTCAGGATAAGGAAGTAGAGTGTGGGGGACCTGCACCAAGAGTGCTCAGCCTGGATGACTATTTTATCACTGAAGTGGAAAAAGAAGAGAGAGACCCAGATACAGGGAAAAAAGTTAAAAAGAAGGTAATTCAGTTGCTTATCTTGGCAAAGAAGTAAGACATTCTGGAAAAACACAGTGACAATCAGAATTTCAGTCTGTGGCTCGGGAAGATTGCAGAGGTCTATGGGCTATTTTTCAAAACAAGTCAACGTAACTTAGTGCAGTATGTGCAAATTCTTAAAAGGTGACCTGGAAGGTGTTTTTCTCCTACCAGTGTACTTTGTGGTCATGACATTCAGCTGTTGAACACTGGCGATTTCATAGATGTCCGTTTTCTTAAATACTTTTGTCCTTGGTAAAGGTGATGGAGTATGAATATGAAGCTGATATGGAAGAGACCTATCGTACCAGTATGTTTAAAACTTTCAAAAAGACCTTGGATGATGGCTTCTTCCCCTTCATTATCCTTGATGCTATCAATGACAGAGTGCGACATTTTGAACAGTTCTGGAGCGCTGCAAAAACCAAGGGATTTGAGGTAACGAGCCTAAATAGAATCTGAACTTGCTTGCAGCCATATGCTGATATTTCTAAACTTTTGATGATATGCAGGTGACTCCCACCTTCAGGGAAAGTGCTGTGGTCTACAGTTACACGTGTACCTTTCTTAGAATGTACAACCTCAGAGTGTGTCACCAGGTAGAAAACGAGCTCTAAAAACTGATTTGCAATATATAATATTGTCTTTATTGTCTTTCTCTTTCTAGGTGTACTTAGCTGAAATGAGTGCAGATAACCAGACGTGTTCCAAGAGGAATATTCATGGACGCAAGCTAAAGGATATCAGCAGGGTAACTGTATACATCTGGGGTCATAGGATTAATTAATTCTAAGTTTATTGTGCTTTTGGGCCTGCTGTTGTTTGAAAACTGTAGACTACATAATGCTTACACTTTTCCTCTAAGAAGACCTGGTAATTATTTCATAGGATTGAGTGAAATTACTTTTCTTAAGTACAGATATGCCTTGTTAGTGATCAGAAACCAAGTTTTCCAATGAATCTGTTAGATTTCTAGAGGTGTTTCATTTTTGTTTGTGTTTTGTTAGATGTCTGATCACTGGGAGGCAGCACCACGTCACATGATGCGCCTGGACATTCGTTCTCTATTGCAGGATGCTGCTATCGAAGAGGTGAGAATCTCTGCTTGTCAGAACTACAAGTTATGTCAATGGGACTACTGAAAATACAAAGCAGACAAAGATATGTCACAAGGCAGTTATACTTGGCACTGTAAAAATCCAGAATCACTGTGTCAGGCAAGTGTGTTCCATTATTCTTATCAATTGTCCAAACATGAAGGTACATTGTTACTTTTTATCACCTTTTTGGAGCTCAGACTTACAGATCTTTGAGCAAGGGTTGAAGCCACTTTGCTCTTAGCAACTGTTGAATAACAATGAAAGAGGCTCTTTGCTCTCTTAGCTGAAACTCAGCAGGTTTTTTTCAGGTTGCTGGATTATTTGGATCATACTTCGAGAAAGTGGATGGATAAGGAAATAAACGATTTTGAACTCAGTCTTTGTTTTGAGAAATGTGGGTGTGTAGCAGAGAATGAAGAAATAACGTAGCAGAAGGTTAACACTTGCTGGAGAAGTTTGCTGCCTTTTTATTCCATTTGCTACATGCATCTCTGGTGTGTCAGCTCTCTGTATTGTTGCATTCTTGGTTGGCAGTTGTGCCAGGAGCTCTGGGAATAAATTAGTAAATTGATTGTATGGTATTTGTGACTGTGACTGTGCTTGTTGTTGTCAGAACAGCTCTTGCCATGACCATAGAAACTGGTGAACTGCTGAAGGAGGCAGAGGGTTTAGTCTTTGGAGTTTGCCATGAGGTCAGGAGGTTATTTCTGAATCTCCAAAGTCTTTGCATTGGAAAGTAGTAGTCTTTAAGAGGACAACAAAAGACTTGACTCTAAAGTAGGCTCAGAGAAGGGCGGATTTGGGTTTACAAGGTTTTACAAATGATGCAAAGAACTGTACCTACTTAAGAGTTTTATGGATTCCCACAGTGTACACAACTCCCCATTAGAGCTGTGGACCCCAGAAAGCATTGCATTAGATGATCAGGATTAGATGTGTGTCTTAAGCATCCATTTATTCTGTAATGCAGATCTCTGTGGTTATATTATTCTTTACCATGATTTTAAAATACGTAAAAGATACAGGCTCAATACAGGCTATTTCAGTGATGTATAAGAGGCAAGTTTAAGATCTTCTGAGATTGTAAGTTTTGAAGTGTGATTGTGTGGGAAGCAATAGAAGTATCTTGTTGTTACAGATACTGGTAGCTCAAGGAATGCATGTGAAGGAAAAGAGTAAATATTTGCTACTTTTCCAGTTTCAGTCTGTTGCTAGAAGGAAACCTGCCTCTGAGGAAAGTCAGAATGGGCACAGTATTCATATATATTCATCATTATACTTCCAAAGATTAATCCTTTTTTTCGTCTCTCCTGTTTGCACTTGGAATCTTTTACTTTACTCTGGTAGAAAGAAAATGCTTAAGTCAGGCATTGCTTTGTAAATCTGTGCTTGTACTTTGGATCAGGTGGAGATGGAGGATTTTGATGCAAATATTGAAGACCAGAAAGAAGAAGTCAAGAAGGACACAGCAGAGGAAGAAGAAAGTGAACTGGTAGGAGGCACATCAGCCATCTCTAACAAATTGTTCATTAATATGTCTGAGGGAGAATTTCAGTCTTATAAGCGCCAGCCCATTGTCATTCTTAGCAGTGCGATCTTAATACACACATTTCTAGTTGCTTATGCCTTAAACATTTCTAGGAGGACTTTAATGATAAGTCATATTATTCCTTCCTAATTTATTTGTAAGAATATTTGAGTATATGCCACAACATTATCAGTGGAGCATGGCAACATATGCCTCTTACGGGCATTTTAAATTGCAGTACACTCTAGCACTGTCTTCCAGACAGTCTAAGAATTATACTAAGTGGAGGGATGGGAACAATGGACAAAGATGAATTTAGCTTATCTCCTTTCACGTGTCTAAAGAACTCTCCTCAACTGCCTCAGTATATACCGAGTTAGGAAGACTGCTTTCTCTGCCACAGCTCACTGACTTTGTCAGTAGGTGTTTCCAAGATGAGGGATTAGGTCTCTTGGATAAACAAAGATTGTAGAATTGCCCTGAGGGCTGGCTTTTTTAGGTGTGTATTTAGAAGGCTACAGAAGGCTTCCTGCTGTAACTTCTTGGTATGTGTAGGAGCTGCAACTGGTCAGTGCTTGATGAGTTGAATGTCTCAAACCCTGGTTCCCACAACCAAGCAGTTAAAGTCCAATAAACAGGAAGTAACCGAAAATGTCTGACATGAGTAAAGTGCTTTTCCTTGATGGAAATTTGCTGTTCCTCAGCAGTGGCAGTTTAGAAAGCAGTTGAAATACAGAATTAAAAAAAGCTTAGGAAAAGTGGATTTTAATAAACGTCTATTTTTTTGCAATATGAGTCATTTATTCTCTTTACTAAATTATTCTTTGGCACAGTGTATGAGACTGCATAAAGTGTGGTTAGAGCACTTCAAAGACGCATCCATGTTTACAAGAATGTGGCTGCTAGTCTCATTTCTTGGAAATGAGCTGTATCTAGGAGAGAGAGTTGTCTTTAGCTTTTGAGATACCTGTGCGTAAATGTGTGTGTGTATGTGTGTGTTTGTGGGTTCGGGGGAGTGTCCTAATGTACAGCACATATAACAGAAGGCCTTTTCTTTACAAGACAAAGAGAAATCTTGGTGGTGAAAACTATGCAAATTATTAATAACTAAAAGTAACCTACATACGAGAATGTGTTCTATTTGGATTTACAAGATATGAAAAATAGCAAAGAATTACCTGCTGTATGTAATCACTATTGCTCAGTCACATGGCTAATCTCAGATAATTATGTCAGACAGAAAGGTGGAACAGTACGCTGTATTTGGTATCTGTTGCCTTCTTGAGAGCAGTTGGTAAGGGTTCTGCAATTCATTTTGCTGCATTTAATCCTGTGGAAAAAGAGAGGTCTGAAGCTCCTGTCATCTGGCAGGTATCCTTGAAATATCCAACTGTCTTGGACCAAAGGATGAAGTCTGAGTCTTTGCTTATCCTATCTGAGGACCAGGATATTGTATAGATTCAGCACACAGTAGGCTGTTTCACACCATCAAAGTCACTCTTCTTGCTATTATCAACTCCCATAGGGTTGTTTGTAGCACTCGGACAATTCCTGCTTTTCTGTGCTTGATGGTATGAATTATTGATGCATTTAACTTAGTATTCTCAGTAGTGTATCACACATCACTTTGTTTAATGCAGGCTTCTAGCTGTGGTATAAACTTTCTGAGCAAACTTTAACGTGCAACTTGGTTTAAAACTATAAATATACATGTATACACAAAGTTTATTTGTCTCTTACAAGGAATTATTGCAGCACAAACTGTCTTGGTTTGCATCAATTACAGACTTGATTAAAAACAAAATAATCTCAAGTCACTGATATATGCTTGATAGAAAAAAGGTCGTTCAAGGATGTTGGAAGAGCAATGCTAAACATAACCAAATGCAGTGTAGCTCTCTGGAGTTTACTGGAATTTGGTCTGGAATACACTGATTTAATAACCCATAGCATTAATAAATACGCGTATATGTTTACCACAGTGGAGGCAACCTATAAATAGAGCAGGAAGGAAGTCAGTATAATAAAACTGTGGGTTTGTGGGTTGTTTGTTTTCTTCTTGAAATCTTCTAGAGTAGTTCTTTTTCCTCTCAATTAAAAAACATTCTAAAAATAATGAAATTCTCACATCCATGTCATTGAGCTTTTTATGTGACTGCAGAGTAACAGGAGTTTTTTAATGCCAAATCTGAACAGCGGAAATGAGGATTTACTTGTCAGAGAGTATAAAATGAAAAGATAACAAGAAGATAACTAAAACAAATACCTTTTTGCCAAATTTAATATCATTATGCTCATTTACAAGGAATAAACTGGCTAAAGATGGTTACACATGATGACATTATTTGTAGAGGAAAAGTGTTTTAAAAGAACCATTGAACTAAGAATATTATTTTAAAATAAAAAATAATACTGAAATCTTAGTGACTCAGCAGGTACTCTCATTTAAACAAAAATAATTTTGTTTCCTTGTGGATTAACCACTCCTGCAAGAATTTAGTATGTCACTTCAAAAGGATTAAGTGAAGCTTGTGTGTAATAAATCTGAGAATCTATTCATAAAAGCTTACAATGACTTTTCCATTTGTGTTTGTAAAGCTTTGAATATTCTTTATGCCTGTTAAGTTGTGTTGCAGTAACTTTGCCACCTGGGATAATACAATACAGTAACTGTGCACGCAGTGCCTTTGCTGTCTGTTAGGCTCATTCTGGAGTTCTGTTTGCAGAGGGCAGCACTCTTGTAATGATTTGCAAGGGCTGCTGAGACCACTGAATGGGAAGTGGATGCAGAAGTTCTGAAATACTGAGTAATTGGTTTCCTTCATCTGATAACAAGAATTGTGCCTTACGAAAAGAAATACCTTAAGCTCCCATTATAATGCTGTTTCCAGTTCAAAAGTGATGTGCATGTGTATCTCTCTCTAATCCTCCGAGCTTCTTTCTGTGTATGATTTAGGGTTACATTCCGAAAAGCAAATGGGAGATGGACACTTCTGAGGCAAAGCTAGGTGGGTATTTATTTTTTCCTGTTTCTTATAGTTGGTATCTGATGATGTTTGCAAAACATGAATTTTTGTTTTTACTGTGCCTCCTTACCAAAGACAAATAAATGTGTTGATTTCATACATGTGTCTGAAACTGCAAAAGCATCTATACAAAAAGGAGTTTGTCTTCTGCCAGAGGCAAGAGAGTTACTACTTTCTAATCATCACTGTTTTATATACTCATTAAGTGTTCTTCCATCTGTTCAAGGAAAGTACTTTGTCTTAAAATTTTAAAAAGGCAGTGTTTCTATTCTCTATTCATCTCTCCTGTATTTATGATTTTTATATGAGCAAAGAGTCAACTTACATTGCACTGTATTCTTGTTCATACTACATACCTTCTGTCAAGCCTGTCATCAGTAACTCCTTGCGTCCTTGGAGACATGCCTAGTAGCTACCTGTATGGAAGATGTTTCTCACTTTCCAAAACTGACATCTGTGAGGATGAAGTAGTGCCATGCTTTGAAGTTGGTTCTGAATGATTAAGCGTCGGTGTATCTTTTCAACAAATTAGGTACTGAAAAATTAAAGGTGTGTTATGCTTTTCAGTTCCAGGAGAGTACTAGAATTCTTCTTAGTAGTATGCAAATTGAACTTTTGAGAAACACAAGGGCACTATTTTTGCTGTGCTTTTTGTTTTGATCAGTGCCGATGGTTGCGTTAGACATAAGTGCTGATCTTAGGATTCTGTCAAATTTGAAAGTAACTCTCAGGCAGAAATGGATGCACCATGGCTATGGTGGCAGGGAGTATACATGGGAAGGGGGTTCTGGTCATTACGATCAGTTTTGTTGTGGGATTTTTACTGAACAGTAATGGTTCTAAGCAAGGATTTTATCAAGGCAGTCTGCACATAACTGCTGTTTTCTGTCATGTCTGTGAGAAGTAACCAATCTCTGAATGGGACGCAGCATGTCTTAACATTTTGCGGTTTGCTTCTGCACGTGTGGTACAGCCCTGTGTGTTGTTACTTTCCAGTAACCAGAATCACAATTGCACCACAGAAATAGCATTAGCAGGTTTGACTTACATAAAGCAGCCTGTCATCTTTTGTTGTTAACTGCTTAGCTGCACTGTCTCTTCTGCTGCTGTGCACTCTTTTAAGTCATATAAATATTTGTGGAGTATATTGATCTTGTGGCACCTGCAGTACAACCAGAAGTGCCTGGTACTCAATGACTTGGGCATGCCAAACAGCTAGGCAGTTAGACAGAATTAATTCAGGATTGCTCTGCATTTTTGTTGTAAGCCATGATTTTTTAATAACATGAATTTATTTCTTACATTTGTAGTTAATTTTCCCCAATTATGCATGAAATCATAGTACTGAAAACCTGCATTGTCAAGGAATGCTCTGATAGATCGTTAAGTGTAGTTTCTATCAATGTGGAAATTGTGATTGCATCAGAAATTTACAGATAGCTTTCAAAATGCTGCTAACAGATAGATACTAAGAACTGTGTTGTGTTTCCTTCCATAATGAAAACTCCATAATATATAAAATGCATATTTTCATATGGTTTCCACTTAAATGTAAAATGAGGAGCAAGCAGCAGAGTCACTTTTATGCTGAAGTAAGTTGCTCACAAGGCTGTTGGAATAATCCTTTAACAGTCAAACTTCTTTAACAAACTGGATGTTGGCATGCTGCAAGGCACAGATACAGGTGCTGAGCAGGGCTTTCTACTAAATCTGTATTCACAATTTTACTTTTATAGCTACCCTCTAGATTCATTTTTGTATACAGTTAAGACTAAGATTAAAAGAAGATTCTGACAGATCATATGTGTTGAGGAAGCCAAGTGTGTCTGTGTAATGCATGCAGTTTCTTTGGAAAATTGCTCTGCCAGGGCAGACAACTTGTAGCTCAAGGAATGCATTAGAAGTACTTGCTGTGTGTGAGTAAGAATTATTATATTTAGTTTGCAATAAGACTTTGTTGTAGATGACCAGTGATAATTATTTCTGGAAAGGCATGTAAACTGTGATATGTATTTGTTATTCCAAAGCTGGGTCATTTCTTGGGAGCTGGCCTGCCCATTATTTTATTGTGTTAGTCCCAGAGGGCGCATGTTTACAGGAGTTGATCTAAGTGCAGACTCCAAAACCAACACTCTGCGTCCTGTTTTGCTTTTTTTTTTCTTTCTTAATAGATATTGTTACAGGAAAGCACAATAAGATCTTACTGATTGTAATAAATCTCAGAAAAGGTCTGAGAAGTTTGAGTTCTTTAGCTGCGCACACTGACTCATGCCAATCGCCACCCTGTATGGCCCAAAGCTCTTACTTTAGCTCAGATTTGCTTTGGCAGGGGTGATGCATTCCTCTTGAGTATGTGTGTGGTATATCATTTCCTTATGTGTTGTGCACAGCTACAGCTTTATTCTTAAGTCTAATCACGGGTCTGTCTCAGTGCATAGTGCACATGGGTTCTGATACTCAAATCTACAGAAATGGACTCTCATTTTTAAAGCTTAACTATATTCTGAGTGTTTAGTGCAATACTCTGTTTCAAGGTGTGGCTTAGTGGCAAGTTCTACAAACTTTCAGGAAGGGAGAAACAAGCTCTGGTGTAGCTGAAGCTTTGATACCAATTGTGAAATTTGCTCTGGAACACAACATTTTGCATAGAACTTTGTGGCTTTTGCATAAGAAAGGCAAAATTTAGCTGAGTGATTTATTTGGTTTTTGAAGGAGCTAATTAAGTCAGTTACTTTCAGATGCTTTACTATTCAAATTCTAAAGGTGAGTTTTTAAGTTCTGCTGGTTTTCAGAAATGCTGCTGCTCTGATGTTTTTAAAAATAGAAACTATAAAATGATGTTCAGTAGTTTAAGTAATCATCTGCCATAAATATTCACAAGCACCAGTGCTACAAAATGACACATTGTCTCATTTTCAGAAAAGAATATTCTGGTGTAATCCTTTGTGGTAGACTTTTGACATTTCTGTGGTGTCTACTTCATGGCACATGCACCTTGAACCATGATAGCATGGATGGAAGCAGACTCCCCTGGAGAACAATCCAACTTCAAACATGGAAGGAGATAACATTTTAAAATAAATTTTGTGTAGCTGTAACGAGAAGGGACAGAGGGGAACTGCATACTCAGATGCCTCCTGACCTCCTCTGTTGACGTTTGAGCATTACACATTTCTTGGCGATCTTTTTGGTTGGTCTGTGTGCAGCAGGGAGTGCAAGACTGAACTTTCTTTCACATTGGTAATGAGGTGAGCTTGCAGCATAGTGTGTTACCTTCCAACAGGAATATGTGTGTCTACAGATATTTGCCAACAGAGAGCTCCTCAATTTTCAGTTTTTCATCTTCTTAAATGCTCCTCAATGTGTTTGTGGATCTCCTTTTCAGTGTTTTTTTTTCTTCTGAAAACCCTTAACTTTACGAATGATCTACATTGATTGAAAGTAGTACTGAGAAATAGTGCAAGTACATTATGTGCTGGAGTAACAGAGGAATATTGTATAAGTGAATTTTGTCTTCTAGAGCGAGTGTCGCCTTTCTTTGGAGACTGAGCTTCAAATTTGGCAGATTAAATTTAGAGCAAAAGAAGAACCTTAACTGAATCATGTAACAGATCCAAATATTCTGAACATTTTTATTAAACACTGGCTTTTTTAAAAAGCAGAAGGGGATTAAAATGTTTTCTTAGAAGAAATTCTGTATCTGTTCCAGGGAAATGGGGAAAAGCTGGAGTCTTTAAAAATTTTAGAGCTGTATGGGAGAGAAATAACTTCATTAGTTTATGGCATTTAAATTATACTAGCATGTTTACAGTACCATTGCCTCACATTATCTCCATTGTTACTCTTTTCTCTCCTATATTAAGTCAAAAAACTCGTCTCTGAACTGAGCTTCCTTAAATACATGCCTTTGAGCATCCTCTTCTGCTGTCCAGAAAACAATGCTGCCTAGTATTTGGTTTATTTCTGATGCCTTTTGTGGGTGAATTTAATTACAGCAGTGACTTCTGAAGCAATATTTCTGACATCACTGGAAATGGTTTACAGAGTGTAATTGCCAGGCTCATAAAGTGGTAGCATACACTGGCAGAAGTAATAGAATTTCCTTTGACTTATAATGCCATTTTTCCTTTTCATGCTTTGTTGTTCATAATCTTACAATGAATGCTTCATCTCCCTTCCTAAAGCAGTTTGCCACATAATTTCAAGAAGGTGTTGGTGTTTTTACTAAGTGTCCAAAGAGGAACAAAATTTTAGAACCTAGGAATGGAGTTGTTTCTCCTCGTGCTGTGTCGGTTCAATAAGACAAAGAAGAAACTGATGGCTGTTGGACAAATGTACTGCTCAAATATTCATGACTGACCTCTTACACCATGAAAGAAAAGATTCTGAGATATTTTTTTCCTAGTCCTGGAGGATTTTTTGAGTGTGTTTGCCTTGTGGGGAGAGAAAAGAAAGGGGAGGATCAGGGTTTCCAAGGAGCTTTTGTTCAGCAGAAACAGTATCTCAAAAACTTGTCTTTGATGCATTAAATTATATGATCGTCACTTGTTCCCTGGTTCTGCATGTATGCCATGTTTAACACAGTATTAATCCCCAAATCTGGGAAAACTGCCACAGCTTTAGTATTGTGTTCAAATGCAGAAAGGTGAATCTCTGGCTCCTAGCTGTTGTTGGCTATATTGTACCTGTAAGAAGTCAGACTCCATCTAGTACAACCATCTGGAAAAGCAAGCTTTTTCTCCCTCATACAGATAACAAGACCGAGTGTTATTGCCACACAGTTAACATGAAAGATCAATAAAACTTGAAAACTGTGTTGAGTCTTCTCTAGTTTATTTCAACTTTCTTCATTCCACCTGTCAAGACAAGCTGGATGTACAAGTTCTGCTGCTCATTCTTTTGAAAAATTTTCCACTCTCGTCTTGTTTGTGTGAATAATAGCAAAAAAGAATCTCCTTTAACGCTGAGGCTCTGTGTTTGTTCTCAGACAAGCTGGATGGTTTGCGGACTGGCACTAAAAGGAAACGTGACTGGGAAGCAATTGCCAGCAGAATGGAAGATTATCTGCAGCTTCCGGATGACTATGATACACGTGCTTCTGAACCTGGAAAGAAAAGGGTAATAAATTTTCAAATGACTTACTGTCTGTATGCTACCATCTGATAGTCTGTGAAAGAGAGTGTGTAGCAGGTTATTCAGTTTTTATATATATATATATATATGTGTGTGTGTGTGTGTGTGAATTATATATATCAGGTCTATGAATGTGGGAATTTCACTGACTCACTTTTCATTTTTGCTGTTCCATTAGATTCTGTAAGGGATTATTCTTGCAAGTAGGGTCTTCCAGAGGTAAACACATTAATTATAACAAAGTGAGGAATTGTAGATAATAAAGATCAGCTATGCATGGCACAGCTTAGAGACTGAGAATCGTGCCCTGTTTCTTGCTGGGGCGGATGATGCACTTTATGTCAAAGCAACACACAGAGTTGTTTTCTTATACTGTATGTTTTGTGGTGAGAGAGTGTGATATGCAATAGAGATTTCAAGACAAGATGACAATTTTATTAAGCTATTTTTTGTTAAGCTTTGTAATAAGTAAGCAGAGAAACAGTACACTGTTCTCATGTTCAGAAAGATTTGTCTTGGGAAAGTTACCAGTTATATAGGTTTTATATCAATTGTGTCTTGTCTATGTATTACTTATAAAAAGCTTGGGAGATGGTGTATGACTCTATATCTAGTTCTGTTCTGAACACAAAATGCTACATGTTCAAACACTATTGGGGAAAAAAGGGGAAGAAAAAGAGGAAGATGAAAGAGGGGTAATAGAAGAGGTAATACATTTTTTTTCTTTTTTTCTCCAAAATAGAAAGACCAGATTTTGCCACTAAAAGTAATTTGAGTTAGATGTCGGTGTTTGGGCATTGTTGTGCTCTGTAATGTCAAATAGAAAACAGGTAGTACTGGGCAGCCTGCCTGAGAGCAACTGAAATACCTAAGGCATTGGCAGAGGAGGTGATGATGGCAGAAAGCTGACATTGCTTATCAGTAGGAATGTGTGGGGAAATCTATGTAGACTGTGGATACAGAGGTGCTGGCAGAAAGGCAGTGTCCCTGAGTAACACACTGGCCTGAATGGGACTAACTGGTATGTCAAGGAATTGCTCCTTGACTTGCTGTTTTTTCTTGTCCTGCAATGGTATGTTCAGCTGAGTTTCTGGACTGCAGCCTCTTCTCATCACCTCCCTCACTGCCTTGTCCCTGTTGCTCTCCTTCCCCTTGGTGTGTGTCTTTGAGTATGACTGTATGTGTTTGAACAGGATGAGTGCAAGGGATCTGCATTACCGTGAAAAGCTACAAAGGAGTTGTGCAGATGTAAAGCTGTAAAGTTGGGAGATAACAAATGTATGAAGAAGCTATTTAGTGTAAGAAACAGTGGAAATGTATCACAGAAAACAGTGATGAAAACTGTCCCTCATTCATTTATTCATTGCTGAGTTGCTCTTTAGCACTGTTTTTCTGTAGTTTCATAGTGGTCTTATAGATGTTTCCATTGTGCAATTGAAAGACAGGTTGTACAGAAAATGGAGACACTAAATGAATCCTGGATAATTCTTCCTGCAGAAGGCATTGCTTTGAACAGAGAAATAATTGTAGTAATTACACTTCAACTCTCAGAATTACAGCACTGAAATGGAAAAGGCTAATTATCTATACCTCTCTTCTGCTCCATAGAACACCTGGGATATTCAGTTAAAAATAAAGGCACTGATGTAGTTTCCATCTTTACCTATCAGAAAACAAATTAATACTTACCCATTCGAAGGAAAATGAGTACAAATTAGTATTCTTGTACTCGTACTTGCAGTGAAAAGCCTAGACTTGCATCAGGTTTTCTTAAGAGATTCTGGTACTGATAGTATGTTCTCGATAGGTGCGGTGGGCAGATCTAGAAGAAAAAAAAGATGCAGACAGGAAAAGGGCCATCGGTTTTGTTGTTGGACAAACAGATTGGGAGAAGATAACAGATGAAAGTGGTCACCTTGCCGAGAGAGCCCTCAACCGCACCAAGTATATATGAAAAAGTGGTTACATAGATTTTTGTGCCTTTAAGGTAAGTATTCAGTTTTCCTGCATGGTTATAGCCTTGATGTTTCTTAGGTTTTTTAAGAGTTGAGATTGCACTTCACACCATTGTTAGAGTTCTCCCAGACTGGGCTGTTTGATTTAAAACCTTGTATCATAGATGTCAGCTGTGCCTATGTCAGCATGCACCCTTCTGTACAGCATCTGACAATAAAAGGAGAAGGATTGTCAGCTATCAATCTCCCAGCCTTATTAAGAGGAAGCTTATGGTTTCATTAAAAGAGTAGTTTAGCTGAGTGCCTAGTCCTGTCTAGTTCAGATTTTGCTTACTATATCTTCATTCTGACCATGGGAATTGCTGGTTTACTTGATGTAACAAACTTTTCCTTTCTTTACAGGCCATTTGCTCTGAGGAGAAGTGAACCAAGGTGTCATGAGCATCTTGCATGGGTCATGTCACTACCACCTTCACAGTTTTTCTTTGTTACTTTAGTTTTGGCAATTTTCTTGAGATATTGGCAGAGAACCAGTGCCCTCAAAAACCCCATTGAATCCCACTGCTCCTAAGTGAGAGAGACAGTTTACTTTTTAATATTTTTGGAGGGAAGGGAGGGGGAGGGCCAGTAGTTTTAGCTGCTCTTTGTGGGATAAAGTGGAAGGATTAGACAGACATTACCTCCACTGTACCATCACAGAATGTTTATCACCTTTGCTTTGTGGCCGTTCTCGTTTTATACTGTATGTACCTTGTAGCTTATTGTATTAGGAAGCAGAACAATAAATTTCACTATAAACTCAGTATTCTTGGTGGACCATATAACATGTTTTTTGTTTGATGTTTTAAATGTGGTCTGTATTCACATGGTGATAGTGCTCGGAACCATCCTTACCTGGAAGAGGTGCTGTGCTCATGTTCTGGAATGTCCTGTCTTCTAGGTTTTTTACTTGCTCTTCTTCTCACAGACAGCTCCATTAAGACCCCAGGTCTTGCTGGCCTTTAGGAGTTCATGTTTCTGGAGAGCA